GGATCCAGGAATATAAAAAGGGGGGGGGGGCCAAAAAGTTGTGGGTGGGGTAACATGGCGACCACAACGCGCCCACCCAGCTGGGGGCGCTGCTGACCACAAGATTTTTTTTAATCTGATCAACGAAATGGTCTCAAAATATCATTATACTCATGATAATACTCGATATCATGGGTATTTCGAGGCCATTTGGAACCATGTGCATTTGATATTAGGAGATTCTGAAGTCAAGCGTAATTACGTCTTACTATGCAAAAATGCCTGATTAAAATAGTGCCTTAAAGAAAAAGTACCCCCCCTGGTGTTGGGTTATATACTGTACAGTTCTTATTTCTTTTGTAAAAATATAGATAAGACACATAATTGTCTAAATAAATACATTGTAGTGAATAAAACCCTCTTGAAAACTCCTGCCTGTGTGGGAGGATTAATAAGAACTTAAATTTCTCACCGTTACAACGATCCTAGGAAGGAAAAGTCCAACATTGACCACCAAACACCTAGACGAGTGGAGAGGAGAGCAAATGTATTACCTGTCTCCCCGGTACTGGCTCAAGGCACACGCGCTACCACAAGAGTCAAATAAACAACCCTAGCTAAGCTAATATTGACATAAAATATAAAACAAGGTACATAAATTATATGATCAGATTATCTAAATACAATGTACTATAGATGTAAGGCAAGGCTGGAGGGTAACCTATTAAAAGGGGTATAATGCAAGGTGTACGAACTCTCAGCTGATCCCGGCACCGTGTTGATGAAACAAGCTGACGAACCATCTCTGTGCGACCCATTTACCAGACAGAGAAGTATAAGTTACAATTTCTTCCTGCACCTGACTCAAAAAACTACATAATCAGGACAATGAAATAAAGGGACAAGGGGCAATGGCTGAGTCATAAGAGGATTAGCACATCGTATGACAGTTGGTATTAAAACAGTACAGGAAATAGATAGCGAACATAAAAACCAACAGAAATGGTTGACGAAAGTTAATTATGAAATTGGGAATAATCCTAGATTCACCCGTGACAGGTAAGGCTAGGTTAGGTTATGCTATGTCAGGTTAAGTTTGGTTAGGTTACGCTACGCTAAGTTGTTATAGGTAAGTATCTCTCTTAATCTATTACTCTTGATTAATTTATTCACTAAATAAGAATATGGACGAAAAGTCCAAATTGTTGAGGCTCGGTAATACATCATAACATCAACATATAAGAGAAACATTATTATAAGGTAAACAAATATAAAAGTTTCCTTTTATTCTTCAGTTATCTCAACAGTCACCAGAGGCAACAAGAATGGAGGAAATGTAAGGTCAGTGTAAGGTCATGACATTTATGTTACCTTGACTGAGTGACTGAATGACTGGTTCAGTTGTAACTGATGGTGGTGGTGACGTCATCAAAGGGTACACTATAAAGGCGGCAGGAGGCCGCCGGAGAGTCAGTCTCAACCGGACCTTCCTGTACTCAACATGCACAAAATGGTAAGCCACATAAAAACTCTTTAATGTACGTGTAATAAATTTATTGAGCTTTGTGTATGTCGGTAAATCTGTATTTGTGCTCAACTTTCATTTTTTGTGATTTTTTTTTCTTTTTCAGGTGATCGCTGTTTTGTCCGTTTTATTCTTTGTGTCGGCTGTTATGGCCGACTTTGGTTATGGTGGCCGTGGGCATGGTGGTTATGGTGGGCACGATGATTATGGCCGTGGAGGACACAGTGATTATGGCCGTGGAGGATATGACGATTATGGCCGTGGAGGATACGACGATTATGGCCGTGGTGAATATGACGATTATGGCCGTGGAGGACAAAGTTATTACGGCCATGGGGGTGACGGCCACAGAGGATACGGTCGATATGGATATGGTGGTTAAAGAGCGTGAAATAATTTACAAACCTTCAATAATGTAATATCTTGTCTATATTGTATTCAATAAAATCCAAAAATTTTTAATAGAATTTTCATGTACCTAAAGTTTACTAGTGATTAGTTTACCATATTTACTCTCATACCAGTACGAACTTGACTTGAGACGTGTAGTTACGACGTCTCCAGTATATCCACGGCCGGAGTTATGGTGCGTGACACACACACACACACACACACACACATTTTTAACCGATCGGAATTTCAATCGGGAATATTTATATATTAGTAATGGAGTGGAACGCTTCCTCGGAATACTGAAACGACATGAAGTAATATAAAATTTACCGTAAACTGGACTGGTGTTTCTGAGACCGGGGTCGAGGAGCGGGACTTATTATAACACAATATGATGGTGGTGTGGGTCTGGTAGTCGAACCAAATGCTGCCATTATCGTGGCCGGTACAGTTTTAACTCGCAGCACAAAGGCCTGTCAGAGTAAACATTAAACAAACCAAATGTAAACTTTTTATAATAAACTAATCACTGTCAAAGGTCCTGAGAAATTCCCAAATGCTTGTACGTTTGAGACGAAAATTTGTCTAGAATATTGTGGCAGCTGTAGTTTAGTTGTCGTTTCATTAATATAATTTTCTTCATTATTTAAGCAAATTTACGAAAACCGAGCGCATGTGTATTTTCAGCCACAGGATTCTCCAGCCTTACGGGTAGTGTGCCACGCACGGCAAACACGTGGTAAGAGTTTATCTTCATCCATTACTTTATATTAAGGCCTCCGACTGGCCCGCCATCCAGTGACCAGGAAAACAACTTCTTTGTCTTAAGGGTATAAATATGCTAGAAAAATATTCAACGAGAAGTACGTTATATAAATTATCTCCATATTCCTTTTTATATTTCTTGTACATTGTTGTACACTAGCATAAATCCTAAGGGATGCATCCCCCTATAATCAAGTTGAGGGATTTCCTATATCACCCCATGTAATCCTGCGAAGGTCAACCTTTTGGCTATTAGAAACAGTCAAGGGAGGACAAAATGGTTAAGTTTGTTCAAATGCACTTTAAGTCAAGTCATCCTCTTCAATCACAACAATGCTAATGGATTTGATTTGTACACCACACAGTATTATGTATCAAGTGTATAATATTCACGCAAGGATTAATTGAATAGAAGCTTTTAGTGCTTTAAGAATTTTATTCACTATATATGTTGTTCTAGAGACTATAAAACACTGAGTTACATGTTCTACAGTAATAAATTATATTAAATTAAGAGCTATGCTACTTTTAATGTCTAGAAACTACATTTACTGGCTAAAATTTCTTTTAAGTTCAGGCAGCAAATGTAAGATCCATTTACAGAGAACATGAACTTCAAATTAAAAAGGCAAACTGTACCAACATTAAAATATTTAGCCTTATCTAAATGTATGCATAACTTAAGAGAGTATTCACTTGTAACACATTTGTTAGATTACTGCTAAATTATTGGGTTAATTCATGTTCATAATATTGTATCACGCCCTAAGGGAGCCGAATCATTTTTTATTGGGTGCACATTAATGTTGAAGTATTATGTACAGTAACGTACACCCATAAAGTTTTTCTGGTATTAGCCGTCTAATCCTTTATTACCATAGTAGGTCATCTTTTCTCGTGTGACAAATACCAGTCATGGACAGAAAATCCATATTGAGGACCAGCCTGTAAAGGTATACGAGACGTCCCAAGTCCAGCCTTTAAACTTCTTTTAGGTTGACAAAGTCTAGACCTGCACGTCGGCGAGGCAAGATCTTCTTTACTTCCGAGGTGCTACGTGATCCTGACGATGGGTACAACGCTGACTTGTGACCAGGCGAAGGTAGTAAGACTGTATCCAGTCGAATGTCCTTCACCCAAGCCTAAACCTCCTTGTCCTAAGGAATTTTTTTGACGTCTTAGGAATCGGGGTAGACAAGGGTCGTCCGCAGACCGGTGAGTGGTGGCCTTATGGTCACCTTCGCGGAATGGGGACAGGCCCAGCAAGTAGCCAACATAAAAAAATTAACGAGATAAAGATCCACGTGGAAGCTTATACAGCGGATAACTTTGTGTTGGGAGTAATCTCCCACACCAAGATAGACCATCTTGATAATAAGAGCTGGCCGAGCTAATCGGAGACCAGCTTTCAATAGTACAGAAGCTGACAAGCTTAACTGCACTGGCTGGTTATCCAAAGCACCGTATTGCTGGGATGGGGGAACATCCCTGTAAGACCGTATGAAAAAAGACCCACAAGGTGCTAGAAATGCCAGAGGTATGGCCATCTGGCAGGGAAGTGTCGAGCTCGGGAGGTTTGTGCCACTTGCAGGACACACGGGCACCAGCACACCAACTGCTCGGCGCAGCTTGTGGTGGCCCTCACTCCTCCTCCGGCCGGGAGTGTCCCAGGTGGAGGGAGGAGTGTAGGGTGGCTAAATTGTGAAGCAAGAAATAATTGAGCTACAAGGAGGCTCTCCTTGTAGTGAAGACAGATGAAAAGAAGACTCAATACCCAAACAAGAGCGAAGGAAAGACGAACGAAGCCAGATACAGTAACATTAAAATTATTATTTTTTCGACCTTTACGAAAACATACCGCAACAAGACCAGGAAGGAGAATGGAAGGTGAAAAACAAAGAACAAAAGTATGAGCTCCAAAGAAAACGACAAAGGAAAAAAACAGCTTCGACGGAAAATAACCGAAAGGCGAAGAGGCCAGTATTCTCAAAAATAAAGAAAGGTTGACAAACGATGAACTACTCGGTTAAATGAAGTTAAAAAGCAGTTAAGATTTGGTAGTGTCCAACTGTGGAACTCTATATTTATTTTGGTGTTATAGTTTGACATTATTCGAATATTGTGATTTTCATCTTATATTTAATTATTCTCAACAATTCTAGAACATTCGTGACGTTTCCCCTCCAAATACAAATTTACCTCCTCAGGTTAGGCTGAAAACGTGAGTTGTGATCGAAAGAAATGAAAGTCGATCATTTAATTAATAAGAAATAAATATAATATAATATAATTTTAACTTCCAAAACTGTATGATCAGAGACTAAATTTTCCAGGTTAGGTTAGGTTAGGCAAGCTTAGGTAATGCTTTAACGTATTCTGTGCATTGTCATAACATTGTCTTTAGATCATTCAAACATCATCTGAAAATTTGGTGTAATTCCATAAAGTCCTTCTGGTGCTTACTGTCGCCTATAACATTACCATATTGTATAATTTTGAAAATGAACCTTGGTTCACGAGTTTTGCTCATCTTCTTTGCTTGCTTTTGAAAATGTGTTTAAACTTGTGTCATGCTTACTAAATATATCTACTTGCCTTTCCTTGTCGTTTGAGAAGTAATGAAACCTCATGTCTTTATTTTTATTTGTGCCGCACACAACACACTGGTGAAACCCGTTCCTTCTCGCCATATCTGTGTAACTCAAGTCAGTCACCATGTTCAGCGGCCAAGAGTAAAGAAATCACAGCCGACGTAACTTTTCCCGTCATTTAATGAGTGCCATCTAGTGGCCAGGCGTGCGTACTATGGGGATCTACATTAAGTAGCTCTTAGACGTGCTACCTTTTATATACTTCCCTTGATCCAGCCTGTGCGGACTGGGCCGCACTCAAAGCGAGCAACTCAAGAGAACCCTTTACTGTAGTCTCAATCTTCCCTAATGACACTTCCATTATGGGAAGTCCTTTTCAACTTAAGGAAGGGACCCCCCCCCCACCTCCCGCTGGTATGGCTCATCAGATCAACAGGACCTCAACCTCTCCCCACATTCCTCCACGGTGGTTCCCACTAGTGGGAGTTATTGTGGAGATGCTGTGACTTTCGATGGTACTGGATTGATGGGATCTCTCCTTCAGGAATGATTTTCCAGTTCCAGAATTACTCCAGGTTTTCGTGTTTGGGATGCATTCAGTAATGTTTTCCACGAGTCCACACTTTGTGGTGATATCAGCTGGTCAATCTCTTCATCCGAGGAATGGGTGGTGATACAGCCTACACGTGGCCTCTATGATGGCAGTCTGTCGGATTCGTCCTCAGTGTTCATCTTCAGCCAGTTCTACCTGTAAAATATGACCACACATCAATATAAGTATAAAAACATTAATTTGGCTCCAAAATATAATGTATTATGCGTATAACGCTACAAACAGTGCATTTACAAGATATTCATGCGTGTTTCAGTGCATCTGTTTAAAAAAAATAGGGAATGTGATAATGACATTAAGCTAATCATTTGGAAAGGCTATCACAGTTTTTTGTTTAGAGTGGTGGGACATAAATTTACACCATTGAACTTCTGCCACCTTGGTCGTACTGGTATCTGGTCTGGCCCATGGACTATGTAGGCCGCCCTCTAAAAAATGTGGCCTCAGCCTGGTTCATCTTGTAGTGTAGGGTGCTTGCCTAGGTCGCCGCAGGGGTAGAGAGTGGTAGGTCTAAGTCGATGGCGAGGACTGTGCCTGGACCTGGTAGTAGGAGGCCCATGAAAACAATGATCCCAGGGAAACCGATCCTCCAGGGATGAACTCGCAAGAACTGCCTCCTGCGAGGGAGCGGGCCCAGGGGCATTGACACCAGAAGCATCCGGCGTGGTGACGGCCGTAGCCGACACCTGGGGTGGGGGGGCTGGGGGCTTCCGAGACCCACCGGAGGATCCCGTAGGTCCCATCTTAGGAGACTTTGAGACCCCCACCCCCCTCATGGACCGCTTCTGGATCGAAGATGCACCAAAAATGTCCTAAAAAGAATCCCCCTTACCTGCATGGGGAGGTTTCGGGGGACCAGGAGGTAACAGTGTCAGTTGAGGGAGACGAACGAGCAGCTGTGGGAAGAAAGGTGTCTCGAATGGTCTAAAATATTAATTGCAAAGATTCCTGTGTTGTCCGAAAGTAAACTTACACCACTGGTAAAACAATTCAATTGCAAAATTAAAGATGTTATAAGTCATTAGCGACGAAAATGTCGTAGAAGGAAAATGTCTTATAATTGCCTATCAGAACTGTATTTGTTATTGTCAAAGCGATTA